CAGAAGTCCAAGGATCTTCTGTTCCTGTAAAGTGTGGGTTCAGATCCTTGGTACTCCAGCTCTATGGCCCTATTCCAGGTCTTTCCCCTACAGCCTTTCCTCCTCACCCTTCATGTCCTCTCTTCCTCTCCTTCAGTGCCCAGTGCCCCTCCTCAGGAGGTGACTCTGAAGCTCAACAATGGCAGTGTCCTTGTGAACTGGGTCCCACCACCTGCGGAAAGCCACAATGGCATCATCCGTGGCTACCAGGTATTCCCCACAAACTGACCCACTCTTTCCTAGAGGGACCAGGAGCGCCTCCATACTCTTGCTCTGGCCATGAGAAACCGAATCACAGGGCCTCTCGAGAGAAGCAAACTGCCCCACTCCACTGCTATTAAGTTGCTTTTAACTCACGGTAACCTTATAGGTCAGAACAGAACTGCCCCACAGGGTTTCCAAGGTTCAATCTTTACGGAAGCAGACTGCCCCATCTTTCTCGCTCAGATTGTTAGTGGATTAGAATCATCAACCTCTCAGTCAACCTCACTTAGCAGCCTAGTGTTGCACTGAGAAGCAAAGGAAACCTACTTGTTGAGCAAGAACCGACTGCCTCCAGGGATTGCCTCCTTTACCTATAGGACCTCAGCTCATCCCCCAGCCCACCTGGGCTGTCCTACCAATTTACCAGCATAAGAAGTGAGACTAAAGTCACAGGTATAAGACACAAGAACCAAGCCATATTGTGTCTGACTTTAAGCTTCTAAGGCCATGGTGCTCAGATTGTTTCTGAGCCCAACAACACTTAGGATCGCCTGGGAACTCCTTAGAAATGCAACTTTTGGTCTTTATCCTAAGCCTGGTGAAATACTGGTAGTTCAATGGTAGAATTCTCACCTTCCATTAGAGAGACCTGAGGCGGTTCACAATCTCTACAGCTGGTGCACAGTCTGTCAGTCTGTCATGGAGGCTCGTGTGTTGCTATGTATCAGAGCTGCCAGACAAGATGGACTAGTCAGAAAGGCCTGGTGATCCAGCTTCTGAAAAACAGCCAATGAGAACCTTGTCAATCACAATAGTCTTCTCTGACGATGGGGGTGAGTTGAGAATTAAATGGATGACTGGAAACAACTTGGACTGGAAACTGCAATCAGGAACTCAGCCAAGGGGCCTGGCAACCTGGATTTTAGCAAGCGGTCCAGAGGCTTCGGAAGCACACTGAAGGGGGAGAAGCTTGTTCTAAGGCAAATGGGCAGAGTACTTTTTAGTGCCTCTTCTGTCAGTGCTAGAGAGAGGTCTCTCGTGTTTTGGGGGGAGGAGGGAAATAGGGTGTGTGAGGGTATGTGGTGGTGTCCCCATTTGGATGGCAGAGCAGACTAATCATGTGCCCAGTCAGGTTTCAGAGATTAAAGACCTAATGACTGGTATATTATCAGGAAACAGCAGCTCCCCTCTGCTTGTACCCAGGTCTGGAGCCTGGGGAATACCTCGTTGCCTTCAGCCAACTGGACTGTAGCAGGTGAACAGACCCAACTGGAGATTTCCACCAGAATTTCAGGTTCCTATTGTGTGCAAGTGGCTGCAGTCACCAGCGCTGGAGCTGGGGAGCCCAGCAGCCCCGTGTGCCTCCTTTTAGGTGAGGGCAGGGCCTACTAGCCCCTCGCATACCCCCTCAACCTTCATTCCTCCTTGCTTCCACCCTCACTCACCCAGCTCTTTCCCTTGTCTACTCCATCCCTATTGTCTCGCCTGCCTTCTCTTCTGAACTGTAAACCCCATACAGAACAGGCTCTGGAGCAAGCTGCTAGTGGCCGTGATTCCCGGACCCTGGAGCAGCTGAGGGCCATTCTGAGACGGCCAGAGATCATTGCCAGTGCAGGGGTCATACTCTGGCTGCTGCTTCTGGGCACTGCTGTGTGTGTCCACCGTAGGTGTCGATCTGGGGTGCACCTGGGTCCAGGTGAGAAATGGGGACACCCAAGTGGTCAGGCATCTTCTGGGTCCAGCCACAATGTTGCAGAGAGGTTAGCTCTCTGGCCAGGCAATGGAGACATTGAATGTAACCTTCTTCCCGCCCTCTCCCAGGTCTCTATCGGTATACCAGTGAGGATGCCATCCTCAAACACAGGTAAGAGACAAGGGGGTCCTGTGTTGGGGGAGGGGTGGGGGGATTAAGTGACTGTGGAGCTGTGACCAAGAATTAGCTAGAGATCCAGTCTCCCTTACTGTCACTCAGTTTGGGATCTGAGTAGCTGAATCTCTCATTAATTAACTTCTTTAATGTTCCTATCATACAGGCATAAACTCACATTACTTTGTCTGAGGCTACACACTGATAGCTGGCCTTCTGAACTCCCAGTTCATCACTCTGGTTGCCAACTTCTCACTGACACACACTGCACTCTTCTGTTGTCTCCTCTGCTGGCTGGAGGGTGACTAGCTGCGGAGGACCAGACCCGATTTCTTGTTTTCTCTGTCCATCCAGGGTCTGGCTTTGCCATCAGTAAATACTACCAATTACATCATCTTGCCTTCACTAATGTACTCACAGTTCCAGCAGAGGGAGTGAAGTTCTCCCCCTTTCCCATATTCTTCCTCAGTGTTTCCCTTCTATTCCATGCATGGCTGTCAGAACAAATCTGGGGTTGTGCGAAAAGATAAGAAGAGAGATACCACTCCTTTGTCCTCTCCCACTGACTGAGTTTTACACTAAGTAGCATTTGCTCTTTCTGCCCTGCCTGCTTTCCTCTTGACCTGGCTAGGTTTCCTCTGGGAGGATGCACATCCAGGTCTGCATATTTTAGCAGTTGTACATTGAGCGCCTACTTCACGTCTGACACACTGAGCCATTGACTACCACTTGGCTGGAGCCCAACTTCCGGTTTCTCAGACCAGACCAAGGTGCCAAGCTGTCTGATGCCATTTTTCAAGAGTTTTCCTTGTCTTGCTGGCCCTTCCCTTCGGGATTTGGTCAGGCCTGCCATGAATCCTTCTGGACTCCCTTTGTCCTTGAGGGAGATTCCCTTTTGGTTGCTTTGTCCATTCATTTCTTTAGAACAACCTTCAGCTGCCAGAAGCTCTCAGTCTAAGCACAGGCAGGCACATTAGTATGAGTATTGCTAGCCTCACAATGACCCAATGGCAGTGAAGGGTTTTTTTTGGTTTTTGTTTTTTTAAGCTCTGGCAATTTTGCCTTTCACTGTCTCCAAGAGATAAAGGAGACTTAAGTTAGGGGCCCCAAGTCAGAGGTCTTAGGCCTGTGAATGTCTCCTCCACTCCTTTGCTACTTTCTGAGCTGGATATCTTGGCTAAGTAGGGTTCTTACTTCACTCCTCTTTCTCCCTGCCCACCCTTTACCCCACCACTACCCTAGGATGGACCACAGTGACTCCCCCTGGCTGGCAGACACTTGGCGGTTCCCCTCCGGCTCTCGGGACTTGAGCAGCAGCAGTAGCCTCAACAGCCGTCTGGGCGTAGACTCCCAGGACCCTCGGGATTGCCATCGCTCCTGTGAGTACACTCCAGAAGAACAAAGACCTAAGGGTAGAGTAAAAGACAAGGCTTTCTACTCCCATGAAGAGTTACAGTTTCAGAAACCCACAGGGGGAATGTCTACTCTCTCTTATAAGGTCTCTAGGAGTCAGGATTGAGTCGGCATCAGTAAGTTTGTTTGGTTGGCTGGTTGCTTGGTTGTCATTTAATCATCATGACATTTTGACTAAGTACAGTTCTCTCCTAATTTTACACATTGGGAAGCAAGTTCAGAACGATTAACTTGTCAAAGCCACAAAAATCAGTAATCATCAGAGTGGGAATTTGAATCTCCCATGATTTGTTCATAAGTTTACTCTAACTCTGAACTCCACTGGGGAATACTCTGTTTTCACTAGTTCCTCCTGTTTCTGAAACCTAGCTTGCCCCCGCCTTCTGATTCTGTGATTCCTCTGTTTTGATTTATAAAACTGGCTCATGTCAGCACCTATTGAGTTCGTACCCAAATTATGATGAACCTGTGTACAAGGAGACCTGACTGTTGTGATTAATATGATTTTCACCAGCTGATTTTCAGAAGTAGACAACAATGCCTTTCTTCTGAGTCTCTAGGCTCCTCTAAACCAGTTCAGCATCATAGCAACCTTCTGGCAGTCTTATAGTACTTTCAATAATTTTTGCCAATATCATAATTCAAATTCATCATTGTTCAGTTTTCACATGCATATGACATGATTGAAAATAACCGTGGTTCAGGTCAGTGCATCCTGAGGTATGCCTGGTACCCGTTGTAATTTTTGAAGGTTTTCACACATTTATTACATTTATAGGGGTTTCCTGTTATGTGAATATTATAATGTTTAATGAAGTATTGCTTCTGTCTGAAAATTATTTAACATTCATTACATTTACAGGGTTTCTTTCCAATATAAATTTTCTCATGCTCAGTGAGATTTGCTTTTCCACTGAAGGCTTTCCCACATTCCATCCATGTGTAGAGTTTTCTCTCCAGTAGGACCCTCTGGTGTCTAATGAGGCTAGACTTCTGGATGAAAGCTTTTTCATATCCTTTGCATTCAAAAGGTTTCTGAGAGTGGAGAATCTTTGGTGGATAAAATTTTCCTTCTGGCTAAATACTTTCCCACATCATATATATACATATGACTTCTCAAATTATGACTAAAGGAGTAGGGACAGTGGTGTGTGTGATGGGATATGCTCACCATAATTTCTTTTGTCATTTTCATCTCAGTGATCTCCTGGGAGCCCCGAAGCCCTGGTGTGCCCCTGCTTCCAGATACAAGCACTTTTTATGGGTCCCTCATTGCTGAGCTGCCTTCCAGGTCCCCAAACCAGCCAACCCCCAAGGTCCCAGTGGTCAGGTGCCTCCCGGCCCAGTTGGCCCAACTTTCCAGTCCCTGGCCCAGTTCAGATAGTCTCTGCAGCTGTCGGAAACTCTCTTCTCCTCGCTTATCTCTGGCCCCTGCAAAGACCTGGAAGACCAAAAAGAAGCAGGGTAAGGATATGGAGGGCAGACTGAGCATGTGCTGGTGATAGAGTGATGAAGGAAGGAAATGTGGTGGAAACATGCTGCTGGCCTCAGTTGCATTCTATCCATGGCTTGTATCTCCTTTCCTCGTTTTCATGGGCCTCTTACCCCTACTACCAAAGCCCTCCACCAAAAGTGTGCCTGCTCCTGCTTGCTTTATACTGTGGTCTTCTTTTAGGTTAGCTGCACCTGTAGCAAGCCCTGTTTCTGAAGCCAATTCAACTCAAACATTTAATAGGCAGCACATATGTGAGCCAACTGGGGCACAGAAATCACAGATACACCCTTTACCCACTAAGGGTTCACAGTCTAATGAAAGTAGCAGCATACAAGTAATATAGAGCCTGGCAGGATGTGGCCTCTACTACAATGAAGGCCCTGTGAACTCAGCTTCCTGAGCACCAGGTAGAGGTTTGCTCTGTCTTCCATCTCATCTCCCAGATGTCCTTTCTGAGCCATACTTCTCTTCTGCCTTCAGGGTGCCAGCTACTGAGGAGCTGCTGCTGGTTGAGAATTATCGACCTTACAGTTAGTAGCCCAATGCATAACCACTACACTACCCGGGCTCACTCTGTAATTCACTTAGCATCTATTAATTACCAAATAAACAGAGACTTCTATATTTGGTCTCTGAAAAATCCAAGCAAGAATAACAATTGGGAAGATGGTACAGGACTGGTCCATTTAATTTTGCTGTTCACAGGGATGCTTTGAGTTGGAACTGACTCAACAACACCTAACAGCAACATTAGGTACCAGAACGTTCAGAAGTTCTGACCACTAACCAACGATGCAAAGGCTCAGAAATGCTCATGGACTTATCTGAGGTCACATAGCTTATATAGCACTTTTTATGGCTGTGAGTGCAGGTCTTTTAATGATAAGCCAAATGCTTTTCCTATCCTATCACAACTACTTGAATGAACATGGACAGAGGTGGAGGGGATGGAAGGAAGTTTTCTTTTCTCTGGGCTCAGGGTTCCATGGGCTTAATTTGGTAACAAGGCTAAGGGAACTAATAGTTCAGAAAGGGCCACCTGACTTGTTCCACACCACCAACTCTTTCTTTTGCAGAGTTGCACCAGGCCAATAGCTCTCCACTGCTCCGCACCAGCCATGCAATGGAACTCTGGGCCTGGGACTTAGGAGACAGAGGCTCTACGAAGCATTCTCCAAGTCCAGGTGAGAGATAAAACCTGAGAGGGATGAAAAGGGGTAAACTAGGTTACAGAAATCCTCCAGCTCCAGCCCTGTACTTGGCTTCTCCTATTCCCGAGGAAGTCCAGGCTGGATCATTGATCCAGGGTGGACAGGGTCTGGGGCTGTTGGGGCTCTGCCAGCCTCATGTCTAGGCTGTTATACTGCAGGTGTTGTGTCCCGAGATACAGTTGCCTGCCAGGCCCTGGGACCCCAGCTCCTCAGCTCCTTGAAGGCTCCAGAGGCTACTCCTCCTCTCGTCAGTTCATCATCTTCTCTTCTTGGAACTCAGAGTCAACAGACCCAGTAAGAGGGCACTGAGATCAATGAGCAATGATGTGGGGGTGATGTTTATCGAATTAGACAGGAGCTGGGGTTGGAGTTTATGGGGCTATATAGGAGCTGGGAGAGGGGTAGGTAGGATACTCCAGAATTACACAGATCATCTTTCATCACTCTCTTAACCCAATCAGGAATTTGGTGGAACCCCAAGCTTCTTCTCACATCTCATTGCCAGCAGTCCCCATCACCATCTCCTCAAATCCTCCCAGCCTTTCCAGCCCTGGGGCCTCATCCCTCTCTGGTCCCAGCCCAGCTTCAAGTCACTTGTCCAGCTCTTCACTTTCATCACTGGGAGAAGATCAGGACAGTGTATTGACCCCTGAGGAGGTGGCCCTGTGCTTGGAGCTCAGTGAAGGTGAAGAGACCCCCAGGTGAGTAGCCTGAGGGATATCCCAAAATAAATATCCTAGAGAGGTTATGTTTATTTGACCCATACCACCCACCCTTCCTTAATTAGAATGCTTCTGCTACTCCCCACCTTACCAATTTTCGGTCTCTCATTTTCCCTCTTCCTAGGAATAGTGTGTCTCCTGTGCCAAGAGCTCCTTCACCCCCCATCACCTATGGGTACATAAGTGTCCCAACAGCCACAGAGCTAGCAGACATGGGAAGTGCTGCAGGGGAAGGGTTCAATGTGGGTAGCCTGCTGTGCCCACCTCGGCCCTGTCCCACTCCTACTCCCAGTGAGGGCTCTTTGGCCAATGGCTGGGGCTCAGCCTCTGAGGACAATGCCCCCAGCACAAGAGCCAGCATCATCAGCTCTTCTGATGGCTCCTTCCTGGCGGATGCCCACTTTGCCCGTGCTTTAGCAGTGGCTGTGGACAACTTTGGCTTTGGTCTGGAGTCCAAGGAGGCAGACTGTGTTTTCACTGGTATGCAAAGTCACCCCGATCTCGCTTCTCACCTCCCAGCCCTCAAAGTAAATACCGCTCCAAGAAAACTCTTCCTTCTCCCAAAACAAGAGTTAAAGCTCTTCATTGTTACTATCTTTATAGATCATTATTGTGGTCCAGGTACTGTCATAAGTGTTTTACATGTATTTAATATTAATAACTCCACATGGAAAAGTTTTTATCCCTCTTTTCTAAATGAAGAAACTATAAGTCTCACTCACTGCCATTGGGTTGATTCAAACTCACAATGATGCTCCAGAACAGAGTAGAACAGCCTGATGGGTTTCCAAGCTTCTAAATCTTTATGGGAACAGAAAGCCTCGTCTCTTTCCCAAGAAGCAGTTGGTGAGTTTGAACTACCATCCTTGTAGTTAACAGCTCAACATATAGTACACTACACCACCAAAGCTTCTTCACTATAAATCAGTAAAGATTTATAGTTGTTAACTTGCCCAAGATCACCCACAAGAACAAGGACAAAATGTTCTAAAATCTTGAGGTAACCATTGAAGACTCTCCTCTGGCCCTCCCAGGAAAGTTTCTTCAACAGGCTTTTTAAAAAAAATCATTTTATTGGGGGCTCATACAACTCTTTTCACAATCCATCCATTGGGTCAAGCACATTTGTACATTTGTTGCCATCATCATTTTCAAAACATGTTCTTCCCACTTGAGCCCTTATCAGCTCATTTTCCCCCTCCCTCTCCCACCTTCCCTCATAAACCCTTGATAATTTATAGATTTTTTGTTTTCATGTCTTACACTAACTGATGCCTGCCTTTACCCACTTTTCTGTTGTCCATCCCCCTGGGAGGGGGTTATAGTTAGATCATTGTGATCTGTTCCCTTTTTCTCCCCCCACCATCCCCTTCCCCTCCTGGTATGGCTACTCTCAGGCGTTTGTGTCCTGGATTCCTTGTGTTTCCAGCTCTTATATGTACCTATGTACATGCTCTGGTCCAGTCAGATTTGTAAGGTAGAATTGGGGTCATGATAGTGGTGGTGGTGGTGGGGGAACATTGAAGAACTAGAGGAAAGTTGAATGTTTCATCAGTGCTATCCTGCACCCTGACTGGCTTGTCTCCTTCCCAAGACCCTTCTGTAAGGGGATGTCCAGTTGCCTACAGATGGGCTTTGAATCTCCACTCCGCATTCCCCCTCATTCACAATGATATGATTTTTTTGTTCTGGGTCTTTGATGCCTGATACCTGATCCCTTTGATACCTCGTAATCACACGGGCTGGTGTGCTTCTTCCATGTGGCCTTTGTTGCTTCTTAGCTAGATGGCCGCTTGTTTATCTTCAAGCCTTTTAGACCCCAGATGCTATCTGTATCTTTTGATAGCTGGGCACCATCAGCTTTCTTCACAATTGTTTATGCATCCGCTTTGTATTTAGTGATCATGTCGGGGAAGGTGAGCATCATGGAATGCCAGTTTAATAGAACAAAATGTTTTTGCATTGAGGGAGTACTTGAGTAGAGGCTCAATGTCTATCTGCTACCTTAATACTAAACCTATAAATATATGCACATAGATCTATTTCCCCATCTTGACAGGCTCTTCTAATTACTCTAATTCAATGTTTCATGTGACTCTTAAATATTAGGAAATTCCACTTTCTCTCTTACCTGATGTATTTTCTTTTCTTTTCTTTATTCATTTTATTGGGGCTCATACAACTCTTATCACAATCCGTACATACATCAATAGGGTAAAGCACATTTGCACATTCACTGCCCTCATCATTCTCAAAATCCTGCTGTATTTTCAAACCCTTCTTCCTGTCATGTCAGTCACTGAGCTGTGGAACAGGACTCACGTTCTCATATATCTAAGAGAATGAAGTCACTATGTCTATGGTAACAGAATGTAGCTCAGGGCTTCCTGTGCCAATTCTGTGTTCCCTTCAGCACATACCTCATCAGATTTCCATGCCAAGCGCATTAACCTTAATTCTACTCTTTGAACATAAGAAAAATGACTAGGTTTGTAGTAAACCTTAATAAGGATTGTTTAAAATAAACAGGTCAATAGAGGAGGGATAAAGGGAGTGTTCAGGAAGGCTAGAATTGAGCTGAGACAGTGAAGGATATTGGCTCTAAATAGGCCAGTGGGCCATCTTTTTACTTATGTTGAAGCCACTAAGCCCTAGTCCACTGGGATTGATGGTTGAGTTGACCCTAGGCTAGCTTTAGGACAGTGTGTGACATAAATCAGATGCCCTAAACTAACCCCTTGTGGCCAAAGGCCTACCCCCACAGATACTTCTACTTTCTCTGATAGATGCCTCATCATCTCCTTCCCCCTGGGATGACCTCTTCCTGACCTCAAGCTTATCACTACCCATGTGGGAATGGAGGTCAAACTGCTTGGAAGACATGGAGAACAACCACATTCAACAGTTGGGAAGGGGGCTTCCTTCATGGCCCCTTACGTCCCAGGTGTCTTCCCAGAAAAATCAGCTTGGCTACCCTACACCCAAGGCTGGAGGTGAGTGTTCATCAGCCTGGCTGATGTAGTGAACCTGACAGGCGGGGTTCAAAGTGAAGCCATGAGCGAGGCTGGGATCTGGCAGGAAAGACAATGAGCCAGGGGATGAGCCCATTTTTCTTGAATTTCTCCTCTAGGCTCCTGATGAACAGTGGACTGAGACTGCCAAGCAGCACATCGGAAACCACTTTCCTGCCAGCCTACAAGACTTGGGTGGTAGACTTTGAGTCTCATTTCTGAAATGTGGGGCCTCCCTTTCCACCCTCAGGAATTGTGAAAACAAGAGAGAGCAAAATAAAATTAGAGCGAAGCAGACCTAGAGTCCCAGGGAGAAAAAAAGTCATCTCTACTCACTTGCTGTTTTCCCCTCTGCTCCATCCATTCCCCCAACCAGATATTTTGGCCTAACACATAGCTCTTTCCCCTAATCACCCTACTTGTTTGGGAATGGGTCGGGGTCAGCACTGTCTTCCTGGAGGACAACAGTGACTGGGTTTCCTGGAGTGGGCTGTAGAGAAAGGAGCTTCTCAGAGCATCTCCCCCTTTAGCGTTTCTGTGACCACTCCTATAGTGGGAACCCCTAATACTCTTTCCAACCACACCAACTGCCAAGGCAAGGGTTTAAGACTGGCTCTGGGAAGGAAGCCCTAGAGGGGGAGATGCACGAATATGGAACCAAAGCACCCTCTTCATAATGTTGTAACTGTGGCCTTAAGCTAGTTGACCCTATAAAGCTCATGGCTTGAGTTCCGTGAGACTGTTCCCCGGCACACCATTTTGGGAAGGGTAACTAGGGACAGGGGAAGTGGTCACTGGAGTTAGAAAGGAATAAAGAATCATTGACTTTCTAGAAGCACTTGAGAGAACTACATGCACCCCTCAGATTTTAAGCACACTCTAGGAAAGGGAAGGGTGGAAGATGTTCAGGGTCTGTTGGTGCGGGCAAATTATCCTGGGAAGAAAACTAGGGTTTTTAGAGGTTCCAAGCAGCCCCCCTCCCAAAACATGTTTTCTTGGAATAGACAAAGTAGCTAATCCCCATGAAAAGGTAGACTCGCCTTTAATGGCTAACTAGTGAACACCCTTTATAGAAGGGAATGATACAGAAACATGGGCGTGGAGAGGACTTCCAGGGTACAGAGTCATAGAATGCTGTTGGAGGGAAGGGAGGTCAGTGTCTTCCTCACTTGGAGGGAAAGAACGGGTAGAATCTACAGATCAAGGGGGAAACGCTGCATAGCATAACCAGGGCCACAGGAAAACATCTTCAGCAAGGGCTAATTCAGAAGCAGGCTCTAAAAGGGAGTGCTAACTCCACAAACCTAGAAACTATGTGGAAGTCCTTCTGAGTTAATAAATGATCTGAGGTGCCGGGAGCTGGTGAGAGAGAGGGTGCTCTTTTAGCAAGGTCAGTTGGACACTGGATTTCATAATCTCATTCTGTGTTCCAGATATACACATCTGCTCTGATTGGCTCTGCTTTTCCTTTGGTTTTGACTTCAGGTTTCTTTTAGCTTCTTGGTAAAGTTGCTTTGGAAAGCATTTCCCCTGCATTTGCTAGACCTAAGGTGGGGAGTTGTACAAAGAAAGGTCAGAGAGCCTGTGCTATTGTGACTGGGCCAGGGGATAGAGCAAACGGAGGAAGCAAACCCTGTGTGTGGCAGGCAGCAGGTGGGTGGGGGTGGGGGTATTAGGGGGCTAACATCACAAACTTAGAGGTGTTCGGATGGTTACCAGGGAGGAACATGGCATTTGTGTAAAGGAGTGAAGGAAGCTATGGCATTCATGAGTAAAATCTTTTAAAATCCTGTGCCAACCCAACCATTAATATTTGGGTCTAATCTAGCCAAATTTCACACACTCCCTATGCAGGGGTCCAACCAACATAAAACCACTGCCATGGAATCAACTATAGTTTCCAAGTTTACAGGAGCAGACAGCCTCATCTTTCTCCCTCAGATCAGCTGGTAGATTTGAACCCCTGATATTGTGGTTAGCAGCCCACTGCTTATACCACATCACCACCGGGGCTCCTGGTGAAGGTGTCAGGCTGTCTGGGAAAGCCTGCTCTTCCTTTCTTGCCAAAATGATTATTATGGTCAAGGATATATCCAGGAGAATAGATCTACCCCCAGAAAGGACACCGAGTTGGGATAAATATCTAATTATTGGCTATTTGGAAAATCCGTAGGGCTGTACTTGGAGATACCAGGCATCAGCTCCTTAAGGAAGTAGAGTGGGTGTCAATCTGTGGGACCACACAATCCCCTTCTTCCCAACTTCCTGAACAAAACCAGACAAACATGGTTTGGGGCTCTGATCAGATTAGTTTTATTGTCTTTTTTTTTTTTTTTTTAAACAATTGGGCATTAGGTAGAAAGCAATAGAAAGAGAAGAACTATGTTCTCTGGCTTCTAAGCATGTTCCTCAGTCATCCCAAGAGCCCCATGCATCCTTGCCAAGAGAGAAAGAGGGACCTTTCCTTACTCCTCTTGGCTCACACCCATGTTTACCAAGGTGAAGGGCTCCCTTACAGGGCCCAGAACCAGGGACAACCCTTTCCTCAAGGGTCTCCTTGTATTCTCATTGCTTCATCAAGAATCATCTTGGTTCCTAGAGAGACAGAGAAGAGACAATGAAAAAGAAGAGAGTCAAGCCCCGATCCAAGGCAAACAGGTTACAGGAGCGATTATGTCTCTTTTCATTTCGCCTTTCTCTGGGACCCGTTCTGTGGGAAGCCCAGCACCAGGACAGGTTGCCATCAAGTTGAGTCCAACCCGTGGTGACTCTAAGTGTGTAAGCGTAGAACTGTTCTCCATAGGATTATCTTTTAACTTCTTATTTTGTTCTTGTGAACATACACTGATTCAAGATTTTCTACATGTATCATTTCAAAGCACTGATTACAGCCTTTGAGTTCTCATGCGCCTTTTTTGAGTTGTTTAGCCTATTAACATAAATCCACTGCTCCTTACAGCTCCCATCTAATCATCTAAGTTGTTTCTGTCACTTTGAGCCCATATACATAGTTCTGAAAAGAACATAATGCTGAAGGTGGACATTTCTTTTTCTTAATTAAGCTATATGATTATTAGGTTTTAAAAAGAAATCAGGGAACTTTATAATTATTATTTAAGGTTTACAGATTATATCAGGGCAATAGCTTTGGGGGCTTAACCAACCTTCATGATTTCAGAAAGTCTATCTAGAATACGTGGAAATTTGAAATTCTGTTTTGCATTTACTCCTTTAGATAAAAGATTCTTCTATAATGTTCAACAATGGTAGCCAGATACCACCAAGTTCTGATGTCATAGCAAAAGAGGCAGTTGTTCATGGAACCAATCAACCACATGCTCCATAACCTCCTTCTCTTCCAGGCTCTCCTTCATCTCTAGCTCCAGTTAAATAGAGACTAATGGCTGTACTTTTTAAGACCCCAGGTAACTAGGACCTTTTGAGATTCCAATAAACTACTAGGGCAAACAGAAACATTAAAGTTGCTATTAGACCAAGTAACTGGTACATCCCATGAAACCCTGCATCCAATGGGTTTTCAGTGCTGATTTTTCAGAAGTAGATCACCAGCCCTTTCTTCCTAGGAGCCTCTGGGTAGACTCTAACCTTTCAGGTAGCAGCCAGGAATGGTAACTGTTTGCACTATCAGGCATCTGGGAGAAGTCCAGAATCTTCTGTTATGTGTCATTTTGCCCTCACTACTCATAATTTTCCAGATTCCTCACCTCTCCCTCATTCACTAGGTCCACTGCTTTTGGCACGTTCTCTGCAAGGCCCTTTTCCTATTTTCAGTCACTTCTTGACCCAATAATTTGTTTTGAGATCCCCAGCTCCTACCTCTTGATGCTTGGATCCTGGCCTTTGGCTCTAGCTCTGGCTCTCCGGCTCCGTCCGGGGCCCCGGGAGCCTCGAGAGCTGCTAGAACCTCGAGAGGAGTTGCTGCCAGCTGTAGAACAGGTGCTGGTGCCCTGGCCTCGGCACAGGAAGCTCAGTCTGCTGTACGGGGCCCAGGACTCTTCTGCTGCAAAGGAGTAGAGAGGGGCCCAGGCAGGGAGTAGAAGGTAAGAGCCCCCACCCTCCCACCCTGGCCACAATCCCAGCTCCGGGAGAAGAGTTTAGAGCAGGCATCTCCTAGAAACCAAGGAGAAACAGAGTGCCAGTCTACGGTCTTGACTTCAAAGGTGCTTGTGTTGGCAATCCCCAAGCAGAGAGACCCTTGTATAAATAGGGACGGAGCACCAAGAGGTCAGGGTTCTCCCATCTGGACTTCTAGTCCTGGAAAAGGACTCCCTTGGGGATTTCTGAGATCTTCCTCAAGAGGACGCTAGAACGCTAAGTGTGCCTCTGATGTTGATCACAGGAATGAACATGGCCCACGGAGTGAACTGGATTAGAAAACCCATCAGTGGCGCAATCTCTAGTCCCAAATCCAGCTTCTTGAGTAGCAGGTGGCCCTGGCCCTCTGAGTCTACCCACTTACTGTCTGGGTGAGGGCCCTGCTGGGTCCCCAGGGGCACAGCCTGGGTCTCTCTCCCTTTTCTACTGTGTTTCCGTTCCAACGAAGAGCTGCTGCCTGCTGCTCTCAGTCCCAAGTCCCAGCTGGCTCCTTCTTCTGGTGGTGGCAGGGGTGGGGGAGGCAAGTCTAAAAGGAGACCAGTCTTCAGCAGTTTCCTCCTCCTGATAACAATCTCCCTCCACCGCCCCACCCCATCCCCAGGCAACATCAGGCTGCAAATGGATAGTCTAAGGTGTGGCTTACCTGTCCCCTGGCTCCAGCCTCAAGATCTTACTCTTGGTTTCCTGCCTGGCCCCACTACTGACTGCCACCACCTCCCCAAATGATGGCCACCTCACCTCCCGGACTCTGTTCCCGCCTATAGGGAAGAGCCTTGGGTTTCTTCCGGAATCGGGCCCGGGGTCCTTGAAGTGGAGGAGTCATCTCCCCAGGCCGGGTTCTTCCTGTAACATCAGGGGATGGAAAGAAAAGCAGGGAAGGGAGAGACCCAAGAAAGGAACTTCAGGGTGAATGAGAAGCAAGCTTGGGACAAGAATATTTGAAGGCAGGGCATACAAAGAAGTGGTAGCTGAGAGTTCTACGTACTCACCTGGGGCACTGCGGGCTGAACTAGGGGCAGGGCTGGGGTTGAGGTAATGGGAGCCTGTAGGGGCAGCAACCAGGCCAGCAAGCCCTTCGTGGCTACTCAGAGTGGATTGGGATGCACTGAGAGAAGAACTCGGCCCCAGGGGTACCCTCCTGCAATGATATGAGGCCTCTCTGCATTTTTTCACTTGACAAACATGAAGGACCTACTATGATTCCCACACTATTAGACACTCAATACACAAGATGCAGCCCCTCCCCTCCAAGGGCACCCAAGCAAATGCAACCTGCAGAACATGATGTCTTTGGAATGTTTCAGAATGTTTGCAGAGAGGGACGAAGACCCTGCCAGCCCCCATATCCCTCCCCAAACCTCACATCCACCTGACCCAACCCTGAGACTTCTAGTCCCTAGATTCACCCTTCCATCCCCACCACCCAATCATCACCAACCGAACAGCTATGTACTGAGTGCTTACATACTTCCCTACCTGGGCGTCTGATGGAAACAGGGAATGTCAGTGGGTGGCTGGGGAGGGTCAGGAGGTGAAGGGGTAAGAATGGCTGTGGACTGCTGTCCATAGGAGGGGGTGGGAGAGGGGATTTCTCCTCTGAACAAGGTGACCAGGCACCCTCCATTGGAGCTAGACTCTTCCACATAGTTTCTCTCCGGCATAGTCGGGCACCAGTCTTTGGGTTCTAAGCTGAGGGCAAAAAGGTGGTAGCTTCTGTGTCTTGCCTTCAGCCTTCCTGTGGCCCCCTTCCTTCCTCTTCTGAGAAGAGGGCAGGTCCCAAGTGTGTAGGGTGCATCTACAGGCATACGCAATTGTACCTGCCCTCCTGCTCCTCATCCTCAGGGCCTTCTAAGTAGCTTAGTTCACAGGAAGGGGGAGGTGGTGGTAGGGCTTCCGGCCAGTTGAGAGAGGGCATTTGCACAGGTTTTCCTAGAAGCTTCACATTGCCTCCCCTGGATCCTGAGGAGAATGGATTAAGGGCATACATGAAAGAAAGACCCGGAGGTAGGACCACATGTTCAGAGGAGAGAATTTGGGGTGGGTGGGTGGGTTAATGTTTATAGTCAGGGTTACAGTGTGGTGTTAGCGATTAGAGACATACCACTATCCCCCTGGATCCATTCTGGAGGAGCATACTGGCTCCAGGTGCCTGAATCTCCTGGGGGCTGTGGGGGGAAGCCCCCATGAAAGGTCTGAAGCTCCTCCCCAGCTGGATCAATGGTGCTGTAGGTAGGGCCCTCGCCAGGAGCAGTAGGGCCCTGGGATGTCTGAGCCAAGTAGAGGGAGATCCCTGCTTCTGTGGAGTAGAAAGAAGCAGGCCCAGGGAAAAGAAGCGGGGGCCAGCGATGGAAGAAAAAGAGCAACAGAAGATTGGAGGGGGGGAAAGGAGGTGCCACTGGCTCAATTTCTTTCCTCATCCCAAACATTATAGGCCAAACCAGAGAATTCACAGGGGTCAGGACTGAGAGGGGCTCCCCAGATTCACAACTTCCCCAAGGACTGACCAACTTCAGGGAAACTGGCCTTCTCGGTTCTCTTCGATTTTCCCCAGAAGATTGAAAGAAGAGAAAGATGCTGGGGGGCAGGTGTGCCCGAGGGAATTAAAAGTCCTCACCATTGTAATATCTGTCATCTGGGTCAGGATTACTGGGGCAGCAGCTTCCCCTGGCTTCCTGAGCTGAGGAGCTTTGAGATGGGTGGGGCCGCCAGGAGTCTGCCAGCCATGGGTACTGGACAGGGCCAAGGCCCATGGGTGGCCTAAGGGAGAGCATGTGAATTTGGGGTGTGGCGATCTTGAAGAGGCTAGAAAAAGTATGGTAGTAGTAGGACAGTAATAGAACTGTTTGGGGTGAAAGGTAAGAGGCGGTTGGCATGGGACAAGCAAAAAAGGCCTGGAGAGGATTTTCCCTGGGTGAGGGGATTAAGAAAATTACCTGGAACTGGCTCCAGAGAGGCCTTCTGAGCATGGGAAGGGCCCTGGGGAAGACAAAGAGAGGGCCAGGTGAGGAAAAAGTCCACACTTGGGGTCTGAACCCCACTGGGCAGAGAAGGCTTACCTGAAGGTGTGTAGGCAAAGGAGGCTTTCAAAAAAGAATATGTGGGGAAAAGAAGAGGGGGAAACCGGAGATGGGTCAGAAATACCTATATTCTTGTCCACTCTTTAGCCCTGGTCCTGTCCCACCACCCAGAGCGCACCCTGAACCCATTGCATCAGAAATTCCGGGGTTGAAAGTCAGGCATCATTATCTTCCTAAAGCAGACTCCAGTGTAGGCAAAATTGTGATCCCCAGATCTCAGCAACCTCAGACTCTCCAGAGGAGCAGAGCTCAGGTTACCCTCCCCCTTCTTAGGCCCCGCCCTTCCACTCTGCCTCATAAGGTAAGGCCCAGGGCTCCTGGGATCTCACTGCCCCACTCCCTCCTAGGGAAGTGGCTGCACCTGGCTGCTCCCTTTGCCGACTGACTCCTCTACTACAGGTGAGCATGCTGCTTTCTCCTGGGGTGCTCCAGGGGCAAACCTTGGGCCCCCTCCGGAGGGGGCGCCGAGCTCTGCCCACGGCCACCTTTGTGAGGTTCAACCCTGGCTGAGCGACGCCCGCCAGAGCCCCCAGGGCCAGCTCTCACCGGTGTAGTGGCTGAGCTCCTTACGCTGCTTCTGGCGCCGGTAGTAGGCGACGCCGAGCCCCAGAAGCAACGCCCCGCAGGCGGCTCCGCTGCCCGCGAGGAAGGCCGGCTTCTGCAGCATCCTGGCCAGCTGCTCGGCCAGCCCGGAGCCCACCTCGAGCCCAGGCTCCGGTTCGGGCGAAGATGCTGTGGGGGGTCAGAAAGGGGCTGGGAGGAGGCGCCTGGAAAGTCAGGAACTGGGACAGGGTTGTCTCCTGCCTCCTCCGGCACAGCCACCCCAGGACCCGCTCTCCGACACCCCCCCACCACCCCCACTTTGGGACTCACGCAGCTGCAGCAACACCGGCGCACTGGCCACGCCCACGCCAGCGCTGGTGGCCGCTGCGACTTGGGTCCGGTAGAGGAAACCCGGTAACAGTCCTCGGAGCACAATGGAGCGTGCCCAGCCTGCCACAGACCGGTTCAGGTGGAGGCGGCTCTCATTGCCCACACACCAGATCTGGGGAGGCGGAAAACCAGGTTTAGAATCAGAAATGGGATTTGGTCCCACAGGAAAACTCGAGGCTCTCAATAGTACAGAGGTCTTGTCCTTAATTAAGGACATTGCACTGGGTTTTCTCCTGGGGAGTCACGAGATAAGTTCTGTCCTTTGAGCTACCAGAGGGGGCTTACCAACACCATCACCTCCCTAACCACCAAAAAAAAGTGGCCGTGTCCCCACGCTGTCCGCAGAGGATTCCAACTCATAATGACCCCAAGAGACCAGGTAGAACTGCCTCCCAGAGTCTGCAAGGCTCTGGGAGCCTTTCCACAAGTACACTTCCACATTTTTCTCGCCCAGATCATCGCTGCTGTGGCCTCACACAGTAAACCACCGTTGTACTACCAAACAAACACTGCCATGGAGGTAGTTCTGACTCATAGTGACCCCACTGGACAGAGTAGAACTGCCCCCTCTGAGTTTCTGAGGCAGCTGGAAATCTCTATGGGTGCAGGAAGCCTCATCTTTCTCCTAAAGAGTAGCTGGTGGGTTTGAACTGCTGGTCTTGCTAATAGCTGTCCAAGGATTAGTGGCAACCCACTACACCACCAGGGCTCCTAAGGGCTCCTTCAGGAGGAGCTTATATCCACCCACTGCTATCAAGTTTATTCTAAAGCACAGCAATCCTGTATAGCGGTTCCAAGGCTGTACATCTGTATTTGTGGCCCAGATAGCATCCTCTTTCTCCCTCCAGGTGCTTGGTGGGTTTAAACCACTTACCTTGCAGCTAGCAATCCAATGTTTGCCTAACACTTTCACTTAGTTAGGCACAATTCAGCCCAGAGACACCACTATGAAACCTCTCTCCAACCTCAATCCAAGACCCAAAAGGGTCCCTCCACCCTAATCCCAGCCTCTGGGCCCTCTCCCCAGTCCTCCCACACAGTCTATTCTCAAACTCTGTACCTGGTATTCCTTGATGATCCCATTCTGCTGAGAGAAGAGTGGAGGTTCCCAGGATACAGTGATACTGCTATTGCCATCACCCCCCAAGGTCACTGCCACTCCCTGGGGGGGACCACTGGGGACTGGGCCAGGATGGAGCATGGTGAGAAGGACAGACAGTCATTGCAAGTTGTTCTCTCAGGCTCCCACTCTTCTTCTAAAGTGTTAACATCTTTGGGAATGGAACGGCATCCCTCCTTCCCACTCATTCACTGTGTTCTCCCCTTGCACACTTTAGTCCACCCGGTCCCCTTCCCTCTTGTCCACCAATCAGCTCTGTTGCCCTTCTTACCCTCCTCAGGAGTGCTCCTGGTCACCAAGGGGCTTTCAGCACCCAGCCCCTCCTGACCTTGGGCTTGCACCTTGACCTGGATTTGGGTCCCTGGGGGAAGTCCTCTTAGCACAGCACTTTGCTGGTTTGGGGACACTAGATCTAGCACTTTCCACCGTCCCTCATCAGGGCTGGCACTCCTCCAAGACACCCGGAAGCCTTGCACCAGATGAACTGGACCATCCATCTGTAATAGAAACAACAAAGCCTACCAGAGCGAAGGCCTGGGTACACAAGTCCTACAGGCCCAGACCCTCTTCTACTTACCTGGCCTCCAGCCAGTCACCTCCCACTCTCTCACACCCATTCTCAAAGGCCCTGATAGCTGGAATCATGAACCCTGCCCCCAGCCTCATCCCTGTGCCACACTTACAGTCCAGGACACCTGCAGGGTTCGGGGCCCAAGGACTATGGGCTCCTGCATTTGCACAGCCACTTCAGCTAGTCCTCGCTGGCCTCTCCATGGGTCCTCCACTGGCCCAAAGGAACTGCTCTCTGTTGACCAAAGAGCCCTCTTAGCAGGGCCAACAGGAACAAAGGGACAGGACAGAGTGTGTTGTATCTGACTTCTGCACAGACGCTACTACTTTGAAGGCCAGGGTCAAGAAGCAGTTTGTCAGAGGAATAGCTTGCAGGGGTGAGCTTGGTGCCCAACTAACTTGAGTGTTCTTTGTGCAAGTCTAAGTATGCATTTTCCAGGCCTCACACCCTTAGCCCTAGTATGAAGCTGACCCCTCCATATCTTGTCTTGTCTTAATAATCTACATAGCTATTTGTAAAAGGCACAGAAATGAGAAACCAGCTAAAATGGATCAGTCTCTCTCCGCCCCTCATCCCCTCAATGAGAGGGAAGCATGGCCTTCTACTCCAGGACATACCATTAGGGTAGACCTCCCATAGCCAGAAACAAATCTATGAACTGTCTTGATTATTTTTGTAGTGGGGTGAGGACTCTGAATTTACTCACCCTGAGTTCGGACAGGCTTAGAGATAGGGCTGGGTTCACTGAGGCCCCAGGCTCCCACAGCTCGAATCAGGAAGAGGTAGATTGTATTGGGCTGCAGACCGCCTACTGTGTAAGTCTCCAGCTGCACACCATCCGCCACTGTCCTCCATCTGTTTCCAGCCGCTTGGCTACAGTGGGAAAGAGAAGGCAGAGTTATCTGAACCAGGAATCCCCCACAACCTGTCTACTCCATTTCATGCATTCTTTAAGAACGCCTACTACTGTTCATCCTGGGAGAGAGAACTGGTAAACTTGTTCCCACAGTAGCAAAGACATAGGGTCCCCTCTTTAGCTTTCCCAGGTTTGTGCTCATGCTTTCTCCATACCTGAAGGCCTCTATCACATAAGAGGTTACTGCAGCCCCAGGCTGCAGATTAGGCTCCCAGGTCAGGGTGATGCTGTTCTTGGTGATTTCAGTGACCACTGGCTGAGAGGGAGGCCCCGGAGAAATACTAGGTTCTACAGGGGGTTTTAATGACACTCCCCAATCTTCTGCAGTGAGAAAATAAGCTTTTAGTAGAAGAATTGAACAAAGGCTCCCCAGTGTTACCTGCTTCCTTCCCTGCCCCAGCTATGAAGCAGTGGCAGTGGTGATGGTGAAAAGGAAGGCATGGTATGCAAACACTAACAGCTGCTCACTGGAGACAACTGCTATCTCTCTCAGCCCTACCACCATGGAATGGCACTTAGAAAATAAAGTAAATCCTGAGATAATTGGAAGCTAAAGACAGCCTTTGAAGCAGATTTGGAGAGAAACGCTCGCAAAATAAGGGACTAGAGGAAAAACTCACTCAGCACACTAAGCCAGCCATTCCATGTGGCCTCGCCTATAGAATTCTTGGCCACACAGCTGTAGAAACCCATGTCCGTCTCCTGCAGAAGAGGATAGAGCACTGGCAAATGCACTGGAAGTGGAGAAGGGAAGTCAAGGGGTAGAGGTAGGTTTAGGATGAGTATCTTTTCTTGAAAGAAGGCAGAGGAAGCGGGAGGTAGTCTACGAAAGCAAGGGGTAGGAATGGGATGAGAGTTACAGTGGATGCTCACTGGGGCTGGGAATATGGACCAGATAGCCTTTTTCATCACTTGAGACCTAAAGAAGAGACTTACCTGCATGCTGGCAATGTAAAGTGTACCATTGTCCATTATGCTGAACTGGAGGCCATCCGCTTGCAGCAATTGCCCATCCTTCGTCCACTGGATATTGGGTTCAGGATTCCCCGTCACTCTGCATGGCAGCCACACAGAGGAGCCCAATGCCAGTGTCTGATTGGCTGGTCCCTGGAGGATGATGGGAGGCAGCCCATCCAAGGAAGCTGAGAAAAGACCTTGGTCAGCTCAGGAAGGATCCTAGGTACAGGTAACCAGCTCCTTGGTCCTGATTCTCTGTGCCTTCATCCCTCAGAAGTCAGGGTCTCAATAGCCACCTCTAGGCTGCCTGAGACCAGCCATTTAGTAGTGGCTTCTGCTTCAAGCACATGATCCAGGAGCACACACTTCCTCTTGCAGATATGCAGTATAAAATCCAGGAGAAACAGGTCTCTTTAAGTTATTATCAACCCTCTACAGTGTTTCCCAAAGTGGATGATTCTACCCCCACTGGAATGATTTTTTTTAAAAAACTGCCATTGAGTCAATTCTGACTCATAGAGACCCTATAGAACTGGGTAGAACTGCCATATTGGTTCCCAAGACTTTAACCCTTTATGGGGATAGAAAGCTTGTTTTTCTCTTGTAGAGTGGTTGATAGTTTTGAACTGTTGACCTTGAGGTTAACAGTGCTGCAAAAGCAGATACCTACACTTTATCCTGGATTATGGGCTATAGTAAAAATGCTTTTAATTGCCAGAGGGTGCTGAGTTGTTTTTTTTCCTGAAAACAGGGTGGTTGGCAACATAAGTTTGGGAGTCTATGGTCTAGAGTAGAGGTGGGGAACATCCAGCCCACAGCCATATAAGGCCCATGAAATTATCAATACCAGCTATCATCACACACATCACCAAAGAGAGGGAGTTCCAGATATTACATTCCAAACTCTGCGTACTTGCTGCCATCAATTAAATTCTGAGTCATAGTGACCCTATAGCTCAGGATAGAACTGCTCCTGTGGGTTTCCAATATTGTAATGGAGGTAGAAATCCCCTCATCTTACGCCCACAGAGTAGTTAGTGGTTAGCAGCCCAACATGTAATCCACTATGCTACCAGGGCTCTCTGCCATCACATTAAGGGTGGATTAGTTCAGTGTTTGACCAGTCTGGCCTGGGAATGATGGTATAAATATCTAAATGGCTTGGGAGGAAAAGGTTCCCTATCCCTGCTCTAGACTGTGAGTACAACCCTATCCCATGGGCACATACCTTCTTTTATCTCCAACAAGGCCTTGGCCAAAATACTGCCGGCCACACTGACAGCCTGGCACACATAGTAGCCGGCATCCCCACTCTGCACTTCAGTGATACTGAGCTGGCCTTTTGGGGAAACCAAGAAGCGCCCTGTGGGCTGAAGCGACTGACTGGGGAAAAACAGAACCTGGAGAGAGAGAGATAAGGAACTAATTAAAAAATGACCAAGCAGCTAGGAAGAGGGAGCTTGCCATTCTGGTCAGCCCCAGAATCTAGAAAATTCTTAAGGTTCTAGTGTATACTCACTCTGTCCACAGCTAGTTGTGTGACTTTGAACAAACCAGTTAAACCATTTCTATTCATAGAAACGAGGGAAATTGTTCTAGTTTCTAATTCCAAGTTCTTGGCCTTACTAGTTGAAAAACTGGGAACAAGCAATTTAACCGTCCTGAGCTCCAATGTCTCATAATTTGACTTCTGGAGGATTAAATGATGTGATCATATGAAAACCTTCTAGTATACCACATGATAAATATTAACATGTACCATGTCACTCCTATGACAGATACTTACTCTCATTTTGAACCACCATTACTATTTTATATTCGTGTGAAAATCTAATTAAGATGCAGACATCCCTGGTGCTAAAGATGTTAGAAAATTGGGGCTGTAGATTTAGAATGCAGTGGTGATTTGCCTGGTTCCCTAGTGAGGTGGGGTTTGATCATTCTTATTACATCAACCCTGTTTCCTACTAATAAAAATTGAACCCCTCCCCTTAGAAGGAGTGACATATAACTTCAGTTAATATTCATTGGGCTTTATTTTCTTAAATTGGGGAAGGATTACTATGAGAAGTGGAACTTCCCTGGTGGAATTCCCTGTCAGTTATTAAATAGCATTGGAAACAAGTCATTTCCAATCCTGAACAGCCCTAGGTATTATCTATACATAGTGACATGTTATTCCCCAAAGCCTAGGCTCAAGGGATCAAAGGCTGAGAGGGTAGTGTTATTTGAATTTTGTACATCCTTAGGATAGCCATGCCACAATAAAAGATTATCTATGGAAGAACCATATAGGACTTGTTCTTGCATCAAAAAATTTAGTTGTTTACAGCCATCAAAATATTTGATGTATATCATTTATGTGATCCTCACAGAAAACCAATAAAGAAGACAAATATAATATTATCATTTAGAAAGTGCCCCACCCAAAGAAGGCATTCAGACAGCCACCAAACACATGAAAAAAATCATTAGTCACTATAGAGATGTAATCAAAACAACAATGAGATATCATCTCACCGTAGCATTAATAGCAAAATCCAAAATAAATAAAGAAAAGAAAACAACAAATGCCAGCGAGGGGTTTAGAGAAACTGGAACCTTCAGACATTGGTGGTGGGACTATAAAATGGAGCAAGTAGTGTAGAAAATGATATCGCATTTGTGGCAGTTACATAATCTGTCAACTTGTAAAGGGGTGGAGTCTAGCCTGTAAATCAGGTCATAACCAATAAGGCTTCTGTGTGGGCATGGCCTTCTCCTGAGGATTCTGGGAATTCCTGTCTTCCTCTCTGGAGGTGGGTCATCCAGACTCTCTGCTTCATCTTCCTGCTGACAAGATACATGGAGCTATACTAGAGCCCTGGAGCTGGAGGAGCCACATGGAGACCCCTGCCAGCATTGAGTTGTTTCCACTGCCACTGGATCCACAAGCCTTCCCACCCACTGGCCTGTGATCCTGCATTTGGTGTCATTGCATGTGTTGTGTGAATCTGAAGAGGAATTTATAGATTGGTATCAGACATATGGCTAATATCAGACTTATGGACTTGATCTGGACTTGGCTGGAATGTTTTATCAATATACAATTGCTCTTTTGTATAAAACTCTTTCTAACACATATGAGTCTCCCTGGATTTGTTTCTCTAATATACCCAGACTAACACAGAATTTCTTTTAAAAGTTGGAAGTATAAATACCATATTATCTAGCAATCACATTTCTTAGTATACATTCCAGAAAAATAAAAACTGGGGCATAAATAGATATATGTGCATATATAGATACAGAAGCATTTACAATAGTAAAAAGATGGAAAGAACCTAAGTGCTAAACAATAGGTGAATGGATAAGCAAACTATAATATATGTAATGAAATATTATGCAACATTAAAGAACGAGTACAGTAAACTGCGAGCCAGTAACCAGGTAGATAGCACTTCACTGTGTCTAACCTGCGAGTCTGAGTCATTGCCCACAAAGATAAGGATGCCCAGCACCACCCAAATACCGGGGCAAGCATTTAGCTGGCCAGATAGCCTAGGCTCAAACCATGACCCACCACAGAGGTCTTCTGGCAAGCTGTCAGCCAATCAGATACACTACACAAATCCTCTGCTACAACAAAGATGTGAGAAAACAAATAATAAGGGGAAATCTCGAGCCTGGAATCACTAAAGAGAAAAGAAGAAAGAAAGGGGGGCTGGGGCTTGAGTGGTACTCTAAAAGAGAAAAAATACAGGGCAAGTCCCATACACAGAACCCAAACAAACTAGTGATTTCTCCACTGGCTGGCTATGAGCTGAACCACTCCACCACAATTCAGGGTACTCTCTGGCACCCAGCAGCAAAAAAAATAAGTGGAACCCACCCCACCACCACCCACAAACTCCTCACAGCATCTTGGTGCAACTGGGTTGCTCTAGTTGTGCTGCTGCTTCACATCCCCAGGGCTATGAGTGCAGACAGAAGAAAGGGAAGACCAGGTAGGTCTACTGCACCACTGTAGTAAGGAAGACTGAACCATCCCAAGTTCCCTATAACTACTGAGCACATAGAGAGGTTGCTGGCTCATGCACAGCAGAAAACAGTGTCCAGGGGCTGTCAGAGCAGTTTAGGGGTCTCTTCTTTACAAACTGGTGGAACAGTGCCTTGATAAGCACATACTGGATGGACAAAGAGAAAGCAGTTGCTGGTTCAGCCAGGTTTTACTTTCTTTATTCTTTCTGGTCTTGGGTTCTTTCTCTTCTTTTGATTATTGGTTGTCCTATTTATTTGCTTTTATCTTTTTTTGTTTTTGTAGATTTGTCTTTAAAAAAAATAATTATTTTTTCATTCTCCATGAAGCAGACAACAGTTTCCACATGACCTACCACACCTCCAACAGCAACACCTATTGAGCAAGGACTACAACCCACTCCAATACCACCTAAGCAACAAATAAACAAATACACACACACAGAT